TAATTCTCGTGAATTGCGTCAACTTTCTTACGAGTTGGCGGCAATGTGTCAATAATGCAACTTATATTGCATACTAATTATTATAATCACAAATACCAACTGTCACTTCATGTACGGAATATTCCCTCGAATTTAATTGAAATGTTGTTAAAACTTGTATTATATTCAATATATCCATAACATTGTATTGAGTACTCTTCAAAACTCAAACAATAAACCGATTAAACAGTGATATCACTTGAATTACTCCGAAAATATTATATAACAATAAAACATATTGTCTTACAATGCAATCATACAATAGAAGGTCATCACAAAAAACCCGCAAAACAAGCATTCATTTATTTTAAAAGCATTTTTATTAAAATATATCGTTTATTACCGTATTCTCCCGCTTTTAGCCCCATGGGGTTATATGTGAGGGGTCTCTGACTCGGGTAGGCTTCAAAATAGCATGGGGCTATACCCGGGTATAACCCCACCCTCTCTAACAAACTCACATATTACCCCATGGGGCTAAAAGCGGAAGAATACGGTACTTGTGACCAAATAATGACCACATTATTAACATTTTACATAATCTCTTATAAGTTTGTAATAATCAATGCATTCATAAAATTGTATTCTTTATAATTAATGTCATATTTTGTGTTGAGATTTAACCCACAAATCAATAAATAAACGCCAAATAAATAATGATTTCAAACAATTATTGGCTTTTTTTGTTGAGTTGTTTCTCTTGAGAGCATTTCTTTATAATAGAATCGCATTTACGAAGGAATATAAGGCCAACGATTCGGAACAAACCCATCGACAACACCTGAAGAACAGCGTCGAGTGTGGATGTGATGGGACTCATACCACAACACAGTGTCCTAATCATCCAACTCTCAAAACCAACCGTTGAGTGAAATTTGCCCGACTTTTCAAATACACAACAAATTAAATATTAATACACAAAAACATTAAGAGTAGTAGAACTCAGAATCGCATTACCATTGCGTCAATCATTGTATGTTTGGCCACAATATCGGGAGAGTAAAGACCGCCCGCATCTGATATGAGCTTAGTTTCGATGGGCTGTCAAATAAGCCATCAGTTAATTACATGTTAAAAGTAGTAATAATTAAATGAATGCATACTTTAGTGATTTGTTCATGTTCAAAGCCAGGGGTGTCGGTGTCCGGAGGGTATGACACACACACAGAGATGTTGTATGTCTTCAACTGTAAGGCAAACATAGAGAGTGTCAACGAGTGGTTCACAAGACTAACCACCGCTTCAATCATACCTCCATTGCCAGACACTGGGCTAACCCGACGATCGCAAACTTGGACGGAGAGTACGCCGAATAGCCGTAGAGACCAAACACTCCGGCAATGGATGAAAACAAGACAATATTGCCTCCCTTTCCGGTCGACTTCATGGATGGCAGACAAGCCTTTATCACATTAACGGTTCCCAAATAGTTAATGTCTACCATTCGCTTGAACTCATCAATGGGTGTCTCTTCGAAGCGAAGACTGACAGCAGTTCCGGCGCAACAGAAGAGGGCATTAATGGGTCCGCAAACGGCCTCCGCTTCGGTGACAGTCTTCTCGATGTCATAATAATCTGAAGTGACGTCCAATGAAAAGGTCAACACTTTTTGTTTCAATTCATTTGATGAGCACTTCTTAAGTAAAGCCATTTTCGTGGTCTCGAGGTCTTCGGCATTCCTGGCAATGATCGACACATTGGCGCCGCTCTCGATGGCCAACACCGCCACCGAATAGCCGATCCCTTTCGTGCCGCCCGTTATCAACACGTGTTTCGCTTTCAAATCATACGATTTGTTTGAATACAAGTATTTGTAAACAATTAAAACGATTGCAATTAAAAACAATATTAAGTAAAATAACATCTCTTTTGGTTTGATTAACAATTTGTGCCAAAATTTGATAACAAATTCAAATCAATTCAATGTAAACATTGATGTGATTCTCATAAACAACGTTACGCTTACTTAAGCATAATTTGAGACTTAAGTTAAGTGTAAGATTACTTAAGTTTTAAGTTACATATACTGTCTTAATAATACACTTTGATACTGCTTTTGCCAATTCATTACCGATTCTTACCGTAATTTAAGTAATATTACACGTAATGTATTATTTAAATTTCAAATGAATATTACATTTCATTTTAAAGCAATGCGATTAGCGGAGCTAGCAAGCACAGGTATTATTGAATAATATTAAACAAGTATAACAGTAAGTACCATAGTGCAATCGTGAAAATGCTGGTCATTTGGATTGAATGACACTAAACCGGGTTAAGTGTTAATGGATGTGATTGTTGGCAAATGAGATGACATGAGAGTGAAGTGTGTGTTGGAGATAATAAATAGAGACTTGTTTTATAAGAAACTATTATTTTAAAAATTAAAATACATTAGAATTCTGTTTGACGTAATAATGCGAAGATCTGACAGATTGTACGCTTGCAGTAATGCATGTAATGAACGGATAGCATAATTGTCACATCAAAACAGAATACAATTCATGATATAATAAAATAATGTTAAATTACACAATAGTATTGATTGAATACATAATTAATAATTTGTTTTTCAATGATTTGTATTGTATTTGGAAAATAAACTTCATTTCAAAACTGTTGTTCACTTAAATCATTAATTCATTGAGTGATGACTCGAAACAGCGCTTGAGTTCAGCGAATGAGACGATGAGAATGTTTTGTTCATCTCTTGAGACGAGACATATCTTCTCAGGAGATCCGACGTCCAGTTTGTTGAGATTGGAGACAATGTGTCCCAAATCAAGCCACGGACGGCCATCATCTGTGAACTGATGAAATAAGTAATCTCTAAACAGTTTAAGCAAATACCGGTCGCCCGTCTCCGACCAGTTCGGGTCTAACTGCAGTTCCGGCCTCTCATTGATTGTCCCGAGTTTGATGAGAAGGCGGAGTACTCTTCCGTTATCTAATTCTTTGGACAGGTCTTCGAGGAGGGAGTCATCCCTTTGGTATAGAGAGTCGAGTTGTGTGTAAAATCTGGCGCCAATCATAGGCATGATATCATTGATGGTATGCGTTGTCCCGGAGTTACTGTTATACGAGAGTAAGTAATAGATTAATGAACGCAAGTCTGGAGAATATGACCGGGAGATCAACTCTAGCGACGTCTGCCAACTGTCTCGTTGTGCGGCCGACGAGATGTTGTTTGTGGACAACACGAGACATAGCTTTCCGAAGGCCAGCAGGTCTTCCTGTTGGAAGTGTTGGGCCAACACTTTGGGGTTATTTGTGGTGAGAAATGAATCGTTAGTCAAGACATCGAATACTCCACAACCGCTGAGTCGAAGGCGCGGATATTCCTGAGAATTGTTAGCACTTGTACTGCAACTGCCGGAAGTGATTATGATTTTCGTTGGATCTAATGCTCGACAAGAAAGACCTGAAGAATGAATGGCTCGCAATGCGGACGATATCTGAATAATGAAGTTCCAAATCAAGGGCTCCGGTAGTAGTTTGCGCTGACTTTGCTGTTGACTGTATGGCCGCGAAGACGTCGAATAGCCGTTCATTGAGTTTGAAGAACTGGATGTGTTGGAAGAGTTGGAGAAATAATGACTCATCAGAGTGTTGGCCATCGAGTGGTAGTCGTAGACAAAGATCAAAGAGTTATCGCCAAACGCTTTAGTGGTAAACACTTGTCGTAATTGAACGACATTCGAGTGGAAGAGCTTCTTCCACGACTCGATCGATGCGATCATTTGCTTAGCGTTGGATGAGTTGGGCTGAAAAGAGTGAAGACGTCTTAAGCAATAGTGTTGACCCGTTTTGCTGTTCGTGGCTCTCATGACACTACACGTCATGTCATTGAATGTCGTCGAAGGGCTCACTAGAGACGGCTCCAGAGGCACCAAATCCTGGTAGACGTCCACCACTTGCGGCAACTCTAAGTACATCTCGTTTGAAGGCATCTCTTGCGAGACATTCAGCTTTCGGATCAACTCTTGTCTAATGGCGTCAGTCATGAAGTAATTGGGAGCCAATGAAGCCATTGGTGGCAACGATTGTGCCGTTTGTTGCTGTTGTCCACCGATTGCCGAACCGCTCGACGGATGAGTATTAGACGATGTGATGGCTTTACGACCGGTGCGAGGGTTTTGCGAATCCATGGCTGGCAGTGAAGAGTCGGTTCCGTAGCCGTAATTATTGGTACCATTCATGTAAGTCGAGAGACGCGACTCTTGCGGCAGATGCTGTCCATCGGTTGGGGCGCCACTGGTTTGGCCACCGACTGACCCACTCATGGATGTGTTGAGCGGTCTGTGGGAGTGTTGGGAGTGATTGTTGTTGTGGTTGTTGTTGTGGTGACTGTTCTGGTGGTGAGTGTTGTTGTTGTGCCAGAACTGACAATCACTGCCATAGAAACAAATGCCATCCGAAGCGAAGTACCGACAGATGCTGTTCTTCTTCGCGCCGTTCAATGCGTTCATTGGATTCGTTAAATCCATGGATGGATTCATTGGATCCGTTCAGAGGATGTCTTCAACGCCACTCATAATACCATTCAATCGACATATGTTTCAATCGATTATTGTTTTCTGTTTTTGTGTCAAAAACTCTCACTAAAGGTATACTTAAAGGCATCGCTCTATACATCACTTATGTATCGCTTATTAACCCATTGTATTGTTAATACTGTATAGAGTGTCGCCTTTACACTAGTCTTTCAGTACAGTATAAACCAATGAGTAGTGAATGCAACCATTCATTTACAGACTGTAAATTAGACATGCAACTTTTCTAATTTTCATTTCCCTCCCTGTTCCTGTGATTTATGTTTATCACTCAATCTCTGTATTACAGGAATATTTGTCCATGGATTCCTTGTCCCTACCCTGTTCATTGATTCATATTTCCCGTCCCTATATTTTGCCTGTACAGGGAACAGGTGATCCCCGTGGATTCCCTCTAACAGGGAAAATAAAATGCATATCTACTGTAAATTATAGTCAACGCTAATACAGTCAACTCTCGATATAAATGACACATGATTTGTAAGATTCATTAAATCGGTTGATAAATGGCTTGCATTTCAATCGAGTAATACTTGAAGTGATTTAAGCGTTCAAATGATGTGGAGTTGAAGTGAATTGTATTACTTATGCCTTGAAATGCATTCACAAAAAGTAATACTTTATTGCATTTGATGTCAAATGAAAGACATATTGATATCGAAGAAGATTTCGAAATCAATGTGTTTTATCTCATTATTCCTCTATTAAAGAGTTATACAAATAATATTATTGTCACTAAACACGTGATCATTTTGTAACTTATTTATAAATTATAATGGTAAATGTTACAAATCATTTTGTAACACTATTAAACTGATTGTAAGCTGATAGAGTACCTTGGTGAATTGATAATAAAGTGTGCTTTTATAGAAAGCATTATGATCAACACTAGAATAATCAAAATTATAGTTTAAATGCTATTTAAAGAGATTTTTATTTAATTAATTCTAAGTTTTAATTGAAATTTTGTTTGTTTTTTGAAATACAGTTTAATTTATATAAATTATAATTAATATAAAATAAACATTTTTAAACACATTTTTGTTGTATTTTTTTTATAAAGAATTAATGAATTTTAAGGCGAATTCCGATATAAAATGTGATTGAATTATAAAATCATTATTTGATTACAAAGGAATGTATTAGAAATGATTAGCTAATTATACCATTATATTTATATATGAAATATTTTAGCCTAAAAATGCCCAAAAATGATTGAAATTAAATATATATTAATACTGTAAATGTCTTGTATTGTCGTTACAATAAAAACCAATGATTGAAATACTATTTACAAAGAAATACTATTTGTTTAAACAAAACAGATGTGAAAACAGAAAACATTGTTCAAGTAATTTATGTCGTGATGTGATGTAAGAAAAAAAAACATTTATATTAATTGAGATTTTAATCCATTGATTGCTATATTTATATAATATATTTATGTATTGGAAAATATAAAATGAATTGTAAAAACAAAATAAATTCTAAAAGATAAACAAAATGAATGATTAGTTTAGTTTATACTACAAGACAATTATTATATGCTTTTTTTTGTTTAAGTTTTAGATTTAAAGATTCAAAATATTTATTGCATAAGTTTTCACGAGATATCATTCATTCAATCATTCGGTGAATGTGTTAAACATCGATAACTCTTCAAAAGATGTCGGTTCCGATTGTCCGAGCATTTGAAGCATATCTGACAGTTCCTGGGGTTGATGTGGTCCTCCGGGGCCGTGATTTGGAGCCGATGTGTTGCCGTGAGTGGAGGGATGGCTCACAGACGACGCAGAAGTGGTGGGAGCGTCGGGTGCGGCGCTGTTGTGCCACTGGCCCCACATTCCTAGAAATACCAAAAATCAATTAGTGTCCAAATAAAGCCGTAATAATGTGTCAAACCTCTGGATCCTGGAGTAGAGTTCAGTTGTGTATAAGTGGGTCCGGAAGGACTTCGAGAGGGAGGACTGATTTGATTATAAGCTGCCGCTACGTTCTGATTGTAAGCTTCGGGCTGTTAAGCAAAATTCAATTCAATTAAAAATGATACATAATATTAAAGCTAAGTGTTATGAGCAAAACTAACTCGAGTCAAATGTCTCGGAGTCCAAGTGCTTTGTGGCGGTGAAGTGGATGAGCCGGGAGTTCCTGTTTTGTTCATTTGTTGCGAAAGTGGATTTGGAGCCGAAGAACCACTGTTTGGATAATTAAGTCCCGGATGTGTTTGCGCTGATGGATGGCTGGGATCGTAAGCGTTGTACACTTGACTCTCATTCGTAGGCCGTCTGTCAGCTAGATTTTGATTCTGGATATGAGTGCGGGTCGGCATCATTGATGAGTACACATCAGTGGCCGAACGCTGCAGACTGTAGTCCAGTCCCTCGTGTTTGGCTGATTGTCCCGAAATGATACCAACGCCAGGCATGGAATGAGTTTGATATTGATGTCCGATATTAGAGTTTGCGGTCCCAGTGTTCTGCGGATCAGCACTCATCTCAGGTGCGTTCGAGTGATGCAAACTTCTGCACAATAATCACAAAATCATTGTTACAAATAAACACAAATATATTGAAAATGGAGACAGACTTGGCTGAAGTGTTTGTGCAGACAATATACTCGACATCATTAGTATATGGATTAAGGAAAGCAAAACTACTGGTCCTCAACCAAACCCAATCGCAGTTCTTCGCCCGAAACCGATACATAACAGACATGACCTGACCTTTAAGTTTTAGCACTGGAACCGAACAATACATTGGATGAGCACAACATATAGTGTGTAAGAATTCATGGATACAAACCCTGTTCGAAGCTCTCTTTCATGTGATTCTGATCTTCGGGATGGAAGTAATCAAAGCAAGTCTTTCCCAAAAGTTCTTGCGGTTGATATCCAAGAATAGCTGAGACTCGTTGGTCGACAAACGTGAACTTGCCGTCCATACTGTGTCGGGAAATGAACTCGTTGTTTGAATTAGAGCCCATCAAATCACTGGTGTTTGGCGTTGATGTCACTTGAAGTCTACCGATGGCAACGAGACAACAATGAGAGTGTCCGTCATCCGAGTCCAAGCGATCCATTTGAACGCCAGTCGGCGGCCAATTCTTGATATATCCGGTGCAGTGAACGACTGCATACGAGTTGCCATCCGGTGAATGACCCAAACTGTTGCGTTGTCTCATACGGTGTATATGACTCGGGGATATGCTGTCCGGCTGGACGTTCCCGATCTTCATGCGACATATAAAGCCACGCCTCGAACCCATACACAATCGCATCGACGACTGGTGGCCCTCTTTCTTAACAGTTCCCGCTATGCATTCAAATCAATTGTCAGATCAAACAATCAAATATTAAATTGCGTTACTTTTCAGATCAAGAATTCGTCCAGAGTTTGGAGATTCTTGAGTCGAGAGCTGTTCGCGAACTTTGTCGACGTCTTCGTTGTGTATTATGTCATAAATACATGAATTGAAAAAATCAGTCTATAATTGGAAAAAAACAAAACGTTTAATACAAATACTGCACTTATAATAACTGTTTTAACCGAGACCTGAGAATGATTGAGAACAGGTGTGACTGAATCGGACACATAAATGATACGTCCGGTATCGCACGCCACCACAAACAGAAAGCCATCCGCAGCCTAAATGACAATTATGTCATACATGTATTAATAATTTAATAAATGACATCTCAATTGTTACAGTAATTCCATTATTCTCTTACTTCAAGTATTAAATGTTTGAGTTCTTGATCGGTTAGAAATGATGGTTTATATGTACCGTCACTACTAGTATTACCCGTTCCTAAACACAATCAAATCAATTATTTTCAGTTCCCATCTTTGGGTTTATAAAACTTCAAAAAACAATTAATCAATTTTAGCATTAATTTATGGAAACATATTCTTATCACTAATTATACGCTTCACAGACTGTATTATCCCTAAAATATTGTCTGCGATAAAGACTCGTATTATATTGTAGTTTGGATTTGAAATAACACATGAATGACAACTGATATTAATTTACATTTCACTTATTTTTATGCCCTCTCTTTCTTTAAACCTTTATCTTTAAACAAACAACAAATATAAAAAAACATTAAATGAATTTTTAATGAAAACCTATTGGTATTCAAAGTGATATTTTAACACAGATTAATAAAAGACAGGATACTATTACAGAGTAAGTCAATACCCGGTATAATTACATTCCCGATATAGTGTACAGTCAATTGCTCGTGTCATAAGTCCAAAGCATTTGCACAGTATATTATGTTGTATACGGTACTATACTGCAGTAACCGGGTATTCAAACACAAGTCTAATTAACAAATTACCTTAATTATAAATATGATTTATGAAACTATTTTCCACAAAAAACATTGCAGTAAAATTAAAAAATAAATTCTTAAAAATTCATTTCACTTTTCTTGATTTAATGGTAAAGTTTTAGCAAAAGTTTTAACATTGATTTTAATTAAGCAAATAGTCTGGCAATACATCCTTAATCTTGGAATAAAATGTATTAATTATAATAATGTCTGGATTTAAGATATGAAAGCAGATAATAACTTATGTATGTGAATAAATGTGTAAATTGAATAATTACGGTAATAAAATTTTGTATCTCATTTAAAACAAGAAGAGATGATAATTAATATCGCAAACAAATTATAAACATTATAAACAAAAGATTCTAATTATAAACAATCCGACTTTTATAACGTGTATAAAGAGCTAAATACGGCACAAATTCTGGTCAGTATTGAGTACTTAAAATTTCTTAAAATTTTCATTTAAATAATAATTCGTATGTAAGAGAAGATAATTGCATCGATATTTGGGTTATTCACAAAACACAAAGAAACCAATGGTCTAGTCGTTAACCAAAAGACTATACATTACAAGAGTTTTCGTGATTAGATGCTAAAGACACGACTCTAACCAAAAGCCCGGAGCTATTCATAACAGCTTTGTGTTGGGAAAAAACAATTGAGAGAGAGAGAGAGCGAGAGAGAGAGGAGCGAGCGTTGAGTTAATGGATATACTTTCCTTTGATCTCCAATTATATTCCTAACTCTGAGTAAAAATATTGGTAAAAATAATACAACAAATGGACCCAAAAAAAGCATAACTCGTAGCAAATTTGATTGATAACAAATAGCATTACTATTCGCTGTACTACTTATTAAATAACTTGAACTGACAATCAAATATTTATGGCAAGTTTTGGGCATAATTTGATTACAGTTGCGGTTAGTATTGATTCAATAACACGAGTGTATAGGAAAAGGTTGGATATAAGGTAACTACTTATTAAATAACTTGAACTGACAATCAAATATTTATGGCAAGTTTTGGGCATAATTTGATTACAGTTGCGGTTAGTATTGATTCAATAACACGAGTGTATAGGAAAAGGTTGGATATAAGGTATGGATGAGTGCAATGATAATAGTCTGAACGGACCTCTAAGTGACTTCATGTGCGCGACAGCCATCCTAAGAATGGTGAGTTTGTCGGGCTTTCTGGCCAGTGCTGAACACGTGGGCACCATATCCGACAGTTCAGTGATATAAGCGGTCATTTTGTTTCGCCGTCTTCTCTCGATTTCGCTGTGATTTTCCCTATTATTTGAAGACATTATCGTTGAGAACCATTGGATTCACTAATTGTTCACTCATTTCATAAACATAATCACGACTTAAGTCACGACTAGTTATTAGTCTTACATTTAATTACTTATTTTAAATACATTTCATTAAATCTCTCATCTATTCCTTCACTACAATTAAAGACAATTTTTGGTCTTTTTATCTCTAAATCAAAAATATTTCTCTTATTTGTGTTTAAAATACAAACTTTAAAATTCAATTCAATATAAAACTCAATTCAAATGCATTTATTAAATGTAATGAAAAGTGAGAAAAGCCTTGAAATGAGTGTTAACTGTAACTTACAATCTGTAAGACATAGAGATTTTGCAATGCATTTGGTTTGCAATTATTATTATATTTAAATTTGCATTTATATTATTAAATCATGTCATTTGGACGGCCAGAGAGGGGGTGTGGGAGGGGTGGGGCGGAGGGGTGGAAGTGATGGATGTGGTGATCACCATCGATGGTGATGGACACATACCTGGCGAACCGTTCTTTGTCTTGCATGCCTTCGTCCTCCATTCGGGTGCCGTATTTGACGGCCTGTGTGTCGGCCATCAACTGCTCAACCGATAGCACTGCTCACCGGATGTGTTGAGTCAACACAAATCAATTGGCGATTATCGCAACCTTTGGGTCGCAAAGAGTGTGCAGTAGTTGTTTGGCCAACGATTCAAACAATACAAATACCCAAACACTCACTAAACACTGAATGAGTGCAACAGAGCATCCATTGCCCAAAACCTATACAATCGTTATTACCTTTACATCACTCACTCACTCCCTCTCACGTCCAGTTAGGTATCCATTAAATCTATTACATAATCACTGCTCCCGAGAGTTGTGACCATTTGTGGCACACTTTTCATTGAACACATTAATTAGGAAATACCTTTTTGTATGATTTTTTATTATAATTTAAATGGTTAACAACAAAATTAAAAAAAAAACAAAAACTAAAATCTCGTTAATTGGGTTCAAAGAGCTTGAAGTTCGCGGTTTCTATCTTCTCGATGGTCTTAAAGCCGGGATATAAACCGCTTTGTTTTGTATCTCGATTTAAACCTTTGCTGAAACCTGTCATCAAATAAATAGATTTAGTAAACAATGTATAAAATGATTGTGAATATAATATACCATTCCAGTGGTTTCCAGCCGTTCCTAACAAACAAAATATTGTTATAAATATAGACTCATTTGAAAAAAATATAAAGCGTAAAGACATACCGATTATGTCTCCAATTCTAAGATCAATCTCTTGTTTATTGTTTGGTTTGTGACTTAAGACCGCGATCTGGTTGTGATCGCTCTGACCTCCGAAGTAATAGATGTCGTCCAACGAATAGAAAGCGTTGGATTTGTCGGTTTTCAGATCAGTTCTGTTTTGCATGAGTTCGTACGCCAGACGACACACTTGCGAACTGAAAGTGCAAACCAGAAAATCTGATTCGCTTAACAGCCATATGTCTAGTATTATATTCCGTAACGAATCGATTGAATACCGGCGACCAATACTCGCTGTTTGGGCTAAAATACAACATATGCTCGCATTATAATTACGATACAAACCATAATTTGCAAACAATACTAACAAATCTGTGAGTCGCCAATGAATACATAGCCCTTGTCTTCAAACTCTTTCACTTCTTTGGTCCACAACGAGGAGTCATCGGTCGCTAAATACACCAAACGCTCGGCTTTTTTGTTCTGCAAATTCAACACAAAATACATCTCACAATGAATTCAAATTGACGACTAAAACGGGTGTCAATTATAATACAATTTTATTGCGTTCATTGAAGAGATCCAAGCGGTCGTAATAGTCGGCCACGAATTTCATGTATTCAGAGAGCGGATGAAAGGCCGCTTCGGTACCGATTTTATCGGTACGCCTCACGTGAACGCCAACTATAGGTGTCCTGAATTTGAAGCGATCTTTTTGTTGATTAATGTAATCAATCATTTCAGGCGATGGTCTCATCAGATAACTGACTATTTGTCCGATAAACCAAACTATTGGTGAGCCGTGGAGTTGGATCAGCCGTGAAGACAACTCTTGCGGTATACTTAATGGCAAATAGTTGGGACGCTTTCGCATCGAATCAATGATTGGCAGATCTATGACCTGATATGAGTCGAGATCGGGAGACGAACTCCAGGACACACGACTGGAACCGCTTTCGTCTAAACACGTTTCGCTTAACGGCAGGAAAACAGAGTCCCAGCCCTTGGCGTCCGACGACTTGCCTTTGGAGTGAGCGTAACGCCAATTATGAGCATTCATTATGAGTGTCCGCTTTGTGGCCATCGCGACGATCATACAGTACACCAAGTGATGTATTTGACACCCGAATCCACAGCCTTTGTTGAGCTGACAAATCAACTTCTTGGCCGATCCACACGACTCTTTGGCTGGATTTTGCAACTCTTTCATCTTATTCTGAACCAAATCACTCAAACTCTTCAGTTCTGCTTTTCGCCAACGATTATCACGTTTTTCAATGGTTTCTGCGAATCAAACACACGTTTGACATACAAATGGTTTAGAAATACTTGAATGCAATGCAAACCCAAATCGTATAACAAGTGATGTCTCATTTCATTGACGAATTGCATCGTCGATGAGTTGGTCTTCGCTCTCAAGTAATGCCACAATTCGTTGACATTGGATTCAATGCGACGTCTCGTCAACTCATACTCTTGTGATGGAAATTGTTGTGCTTTAGAATCGGAGGAATGTCTGACTGAAGTGACGACTGGACTCAAATCGATGGGCAGATAGTTCTGGAGAAGACTTCTGAGCTCTTCGTTCTGCGACTTAAGAGCCGTCAACTCATTCATGGCTCGCGAAAGTCGGGCCAAAATCATCTCTCCGTTGCTATTGGTGTCCGCATTACCGATACTGTCCTCTCGATTGTGTGACCAACCAATCAGTGGACCCGTTATCACAAAGATTATCAGAAGCCATACAATGACAACGGCTGACGACAAAAAGGAGACAATTAGTGGTCAATACAAATGCTTTTGCAAATCAAATACCAATTATGAGACGACTGACAGAAGTGACGGAAAACGATGACAACATTGCCTTTGGATCCCTTTGGATGTGTTGGACGTCACTATTGATTGCACTTTAATTTAACGACACATCCATTCATGTCATGTCATGTCTTGTGGTCACCAAAAGCTCAGTAACAGATCAATTGAATACAGATATAAACCACAAGTGATTTACATTTCAATCACTCGTCAATCGATCACTACTTTTGTCCTAAAAAACCATAGAAAACAATCAAAACAAACCATTCATATATAACGTTACGCCCATTAAGGGGTGGGCAGAACCCGATGTGCAATGCATTAGTCTTATACAGGGTTTGTATTTGCTATTCATAGAGCGTTACGTTATCTATGAGTTGCGGTTACTATTTATTTATGACCACAAAAACACAGATTTTTTGCTTTCAATGAACGCATAAATAGTAACCAAAAATTAAGTGATAATACAATTGAAGACAAGTCTTGGGATTAATTGATTTGTGACACACATCGACTACAAGCGGAGGAGAAGATGAGCGCAGAAGTGAGCGAAGAAGTGGTGGAGAATAGCGTCGAGAATCGAGTGATAGATCTGTTGAACAGTTCGATGTATTCCTCCTCAGAGTCGGAAAAGGTGTCCAATTTAGTGAGACGGAAAACGATGACAACATTGCCTTTGGATCCCTTTGGATGTGTTGGACGTCACTATTGATTGCACTTTAATTTAACGACACATCCATTCATGTCATGTCATGTCTTGTGGTCACCAAAAGCTCAAAAACAGATCAATTGAATACAGATATAAACCACAAGTGATTTACATTTCAATCACTCGTCAATCGATCACTACTTTTGTCCTAAAAAACCATAGAAAACAATCAAAACGAACCATTCATATATAACGTTACGCACAGTAAGGGGTGGGCAAAACGGGATGTGCAATGCATTTGTGTTATACAGGGTTTGTATTTGCTATTCATTGAGCGTTACGTTATCTATGAGTTGCGGTTACTATTTATTTATGACCACAAAAACACAGATTTTTTTGCTTTCAATGAACGCATAAATAGTGACCAAAAATTAAGTGATAATACAATTAAAGACAAGTCTTGGGATCAATTGATTTGTGACACACATTGACTACAAGTGGAGGAGAAGATGAGCGCAGAAGTGAGCGAAGAAGTGGTGGAGAATAGCGTCGAGAATCGAGTGATAGATCTGTTGAACAGTTCGATGTATTCCTCCTCAGAGTCGGAAAAGGTGTCCAATTTAGTGAAAGTACAGCAACTGGTGCTCCACAACGACCTCCTCGACAACTTCTTGGACGAGATCCTGGGCTTCCAGAACGACCGCGACGTTCAGGTGAGACGCTTTGTGGTGGGATTCGTGGAGAAGACGTGCAAAAAGGATTGCGATTACTTCCCGAAAGTGATTATGAACTTAAAGGTGATGTTCGCCGACGACAGCCCTAATGTCGTCAAGAAAGCCATTCAGACGTCCACTCAGTTGTACAAAGAGTTTCTCAAATGGATTTCCAGCGCAAAGATCACTGATTTGGTTGAATCCACTTACGAGGTGTGGCTTCAGATCAAACAGCATTTGTTCGCTCTGTTGGACACCGCAGACAACGACGGCATCAGAACCCAAGTCATCAAATTCATGGAAATGATTGTCATCTGTCAGACACGCAAAGACCAGTTCAGTACTGGCGATGATTTCTGCATCGATTCCATGTCAGCGAATCCACTGATGGATTTGGACGCTCTCGAGGAAGAGGCCAAACAAGTGTTTGAACAGCTCATCATATTTCACGGCACGCCTCACATATCGAGTGTCAACTTAATGGCAACGATGCAGACGTTGACACTCATTGCGAGACAACGATCGCAGCCATTCTTCTCGAAAGTGATCCAAGCGTTGGAAGCACTTCACGCCAATCTTCCGCCCACTTTAGCCAAATCACAGGTCAATTCTGTCCGAAAACAACTCAAACTTCAGCTCTTGATTCTATTGAAACACCCGATCGCGTGGGCGTCGCCTCCCTTTCAGACACAGATCAGCCAATTGTTGACAGATTTAGGCGCCTCTCAGTCGGAGATCAATAAATGTCTGAATGAGAACCGAAAGCGAACCATCAAAACAGAGCCCAAAGACACTGAAGTGAAGCGAATTAAGTTAGAAGTGGACGACGACGAAGACGACAACGAACCGCCAGTGATTCCGCCCGCGAAGATCACTCGAAACGAGGCCAACACTGCCATTGATATCACCGCCGAAGACATTATTCCGCGTTTAAATGTGATCGCAAACGTGAGCGATTTGGTTCTGGTGTCGATGCTATCATTGCCCGACTCTATGCCCGACCACTTTCAGGCCTCTTACACGCCTGTGGCCGCCGCCGGCACTACATCTCAAATCAAGCATTTGGCACGACTTCTATCCTCGCAATTGACTGCCGCCGGACTCGGTTTGCCATTCAATACGAATGCTATGTTTGACTGAAATTATAATTTTCATATTGTTATACAGGAAAAGGTGTGGAAGAGATGGTCAACAAAATGACAAACGCATCGAAGAAAGAATTAAATACCGAACAGAACATCGAACAGAACCAGAAGATCGCTATAGTTGTGGGCAAAACGATAGCACAGGAGCTGAAGAAACAGGAACAACAGCAACAACACCATCAACAACAACAACATCAACAGAAAGTACGGCTCCAACAGTCGGGCAAACAGTTGAGTGGAAGCGTTCGACTCAAACAATCGAATTTGTCTGAGATTACCAAACCATTGAGTGATGAACTCAAACAACGAATGGCATTGGAAGCGATCAATAGGATTCTCAAAGACGACAAGAAAGTCTTTTTCTCCACTTCTCAGTTGGAGACAAGAGTAAAGTTATTAGCGATGCTTTCGTCCGAATATCACGACTCGTCTAATATTGAATATCTCATCAAAAGCTATGCGTTTGAAAACATTAGGAATAGACATGAGATTATTTTTAACACACTTTACAATGAGTTCGTTTTGGCCAAAAAACGGGACAATGATTTTACTCATTACTCCCAGTATTTATCAAAAACACTTCAGGACTTAATGACCAAAACAGAGCTCAAAGATCGCGACCACTTTCTCGTGAAATTCTATATTGAATGTCCACTTCTGACCGAACAGTCTATTGAATTACTCAAACATTTTATATTAAATGACAACTTATATGCGTTGAGTGTGAATATAGGCATTCATATATTGAAAGAGTTAATTAAAAAGAAACGAAAGCAAAGCGCAAACCTTTTGGCACTTTTGCTCGATCTATGTCTTCATCCGGAAAAGTCAGACGTGAGGACACAAGCGGTGAAAACTGCAAAGAGTTTACACGAATCTGTTAACGACAATACGATTCGACTCCCCATTGAAAAGTCTGCGCTCAAAACGTTACGCTATTTACTCGAAGCCAAACCGCCGACACTTATTGACAAAGAAAATGTCGGCGTTTGGAACGACGACATCATTAAGTTATGTCTTGTTCTCTATTTAAGTCTTTTGCCAACAAATCATAAACTTATTCACGATTTGGCGGTTGTATACGTGGGCACAAGTGCTGACACGAAGCGTATTATCTTAAGAGTACTCGAAGGACCCGTTAAAGGCATGGGAATGAATTCACCCGAACTTCTACTTCTCGTCGAAAACTGTCCGAAAGGCGCCGAAACACTAGTGACTAGAATTATACACGTATTGACTGACAAACAGCCGCCGAGTTCTGAGTTGGTCTCAAGAGTGAGGGATTTGTATCAGAAACGAGTTCCAGACGTGAGGTTTTTGATTCCCGTTTTGAATGGTTTGTCCAAAGGAGAAGTGATAGCAGCGCTGCCCAAACTCATCAAATTGAATCCCATTGTTGTCAAAGAGGTCTTCAATCGCCTTCTCGGCGCTCACGGTTTGTCTCCTTATTGTTTTCATTTCAGACATTAATTTATTGTATTTGTATTTACAGTGGAGTCGGGAACCAATTTTCAGAGTCCGTTAACACCGGCCGAACTTTTGGTCGCTTTGCATACAATTGACTCATCAAAGTGTGAGATTAAGACTATAATAAAAGCGACGAATTTGTGTTTCGCGGAGAACAACATCTATACGGCAGAAGTGTTGGCTATTGTGATGCAATTGTTGATGGAATGCAATCCATTGCCAACACTTCTCATGCGGACAGTCATTCAGAGTCTCTCACAATATCCCCGTCTAATAGGTTTTGTGATGAATATATTGCAGCGATTGATTCTAAAGCAGGTCTGGAAGCAGAAGAAAGTTTGGGAGGGTTTCATCAAATGCTGCCAAAGAACTAAACCACAAAGTTTTCAAGTGTTACTCCAATTACCGGCCCCTCAACTCATCGCTGTATTTGCCTCCAGTCCTGACTTACAGCCGGGTCTTAAAGAACACGTGGAATCGTTTACAGATCACCAGCGCTCGCATATACCGCAGCAGTTGTTAGATATCATCTTTCAATCGTCCGAATCGTCGGAAATGATTGATGAAAAGCAAACCATCGAATCTAATGCCGAGGTTTCTGCTCAAGAGTCAGAGGCACCAGTCGTTGAACAGACGTCAACGTAGTATTTGATAAGAGTTTATAAATTATAGTTTAATTTAATGAATTTTATCGCAAGTGATTTGGTTTTAAATTGTTATCGAAAATCATTGTATCCTAAATTCCCAAATAAATTTAATTTGATTAAACTTTTTAGTTGAAAATTTATTTAAATAAATTGCATTTATTTGTTGTGATATGTGTGCGAATGAAAGTTAAATAATTTAATCATCTTTATAAATTAATTTTTATAAAGTTATAAAAGTAAAATCATAACTTTGAGAAATATTATTGAATAATCAGTTGAAAACGCTTACGATTATTGTATTAGAACTGATGTATTAGAACTACATGTAAAGTATGTTATGTAATAGTTATACTCCAAAGGCTTTTTATTTAAGAAGGTATCGGAAAAATGTGTGAATTTCTAAATTTAAATCATAATTGTATTTACAATTGATTATAAACTTTATGAATGTCACAAAATAGAGAGTAAACACGCGATTATGCGGTCATTCCTTCATTGAGAAGAGAGGATGAAGTGGTGAATGAAGTGGTGAATGAAGTGAGGGATGAGTTGTAAGCAAAACAAATAGAAGGCATATATTTTAATGATTGAGACTTTTGGCGAGTTTGCGCTTTTGGTTAGAGAGGACTCAATATAAAAGACTCAATACAAGAGTTGTCTCTCCAAAGAATGGCTGGTATAGACGGTATAGCAGATCGGCTTTCATTAGGAAATGGCTGTTTCCCACCACCCGATCACCACTTCTTCTAAACTGATTTCACAAATTGTTTACTCATTTATCACTCATTCATAAGACGACGGAATCTCTTCCGATGACTATTGAAGGATCTAAAATGGGGTGAGTCTTCGCCACTCATTATCACTCATTTGTTTCCTATGGCATCATTTGATACCAACAATTGTATTGAGATCTATGTTCCATACAATGTGTCCATTATTTACTTCTTCAACTAATTCAGTAGAGAATGAGGTGATAATTATATGAGACAATAGACTTGATATATGTTATTCCAGCCGAGATAGCTAGTTTGGTAAGTAGGGTGCTATGTTAAGTGCTATGTTAGGTGCTAGGTTGATTCTATTTATAAAGTAATGTTGATGTTTGCATTATTAATTGTTTATTTGTTATTTGTATTACAATAAGTTATTTGTGTTAATAATAGACATAATTAGTTAATATTAGCGAAATTTTAATACAAACTTAATGAGCAAATATTGTGGTAATAGATTGAATAAATTAATATGAGAATATGCATGATGGATATTGGAAACATTAATATTTTTGTTACGTTAATTGGATTCTCACGATCTTTACAATTAAGACAAGTTTTTGTGTACAATATTTTAATGGATAAAAAATTCAATGCGAAATGAAATGCAATTAATGGCATTGAATTGAATAAGAAATCGTGTTTTAATGGTGTTTATTGGGAGGCATTCGCCAAATGGATTAGATTTAAACTAAAGGAGAATGATTTTGGTTGAAAACAGAGAACAACCCATTTTCTCGACTAAAGCCCATGTCTTCCATATCGACCCGCAAACCAAGAGGTCATGGATTCCCGCGAGTTCTCAAGCGGTTAACGTTAGCTTCTTCTATGACTCCAACAGAAACTTATACAGAATTATAAGCGTCGAGTCAACTAAGGTATGCTTTATTCAATTAACAGCCCATTACTAAAACCAATTAATCTAATATTATTTGTATGCTTTTCGCACAAATTCCTTTCGTTTTGGTGTAATGTTTAAAATTCACAAATAGTTTTACACGGAATTTATTTGAACAGAAATAACAAAAGCTAATTTAATTTCCTAATATAAATGCATTGATTGATGTGTGTCTTTCCATTAATAGGCTGTCATTAATAGCACAATCACTCCAAACATGACTTTTACAAAAACATCACAAAAGTTTGGTCAGTGGTCTGATATTCGTGCCAATACTGTCTATGGTTTAGGCTTCGCGTCAGAACCTGATTTAAATAAGGTTTGAATTTTCTATATATTTTTTTTTTAAATATTTATTTGATTCACATACTCGTTGTGATCATTTATACAAATTATTACAGATTGTTTTGAATGGCTATACAGTAGTATACAAATATTGATTATACATGATTGTTTATGAATAGCGGATTATTTACATATACAATTTACAAATGTATATCTAGTATATTACAGTATAGTTGGTATTTATATTCAGGGCTATTGTAGGCATTATTTTTGATGATAAACTGTAGAGTGTTTGATGAGATGGTGACTCTTCTCGGTTGAATTGATTTGACTATTGCTTTGTGTGCTGACTGTGATTCACTATCCGGTGCGATGAAAACCGATCTTGGTGAAAAACACCCACACCACTCATCTGTGTATGAAGTGATCACATAATGCATTTGGTAGAGAAAAGGGATGACTACAGGCTTGACCTGGAATCGAACCCCAGACTCTCCAATTGATGCATGCGTTCAGTCCATGCCTTTAGACCTCTACGCCACAGAGAGACTAAACTATTATATATAACACTAAACTATTATATTCTCATGTGTTTTACTGAATAAATGAAAATACAATAAATCATTTAGAGTCCTATTTTTCATATTTGTTTGTTTATTATAAATACTTAATAATGTAATGAATTTGTTATTTACACGTTAAACAAGAATTGATATAAAATTTGATAGTTTTCTAATAATCTCTTATTCAATACAAAGTCACGACTCATAACTTAATTTATATTTAAAACTTATATAATACACTGTTAATAATAATTATTATTACCGTTATATGAATATCTATTCCCACACAAATGTATATAAATAGGAACATTTTATTTCACATCACATTGTTTTCGAAATATTTGTTGAAAACCACAATAAAGTATTGTTTTGATTATAAAACTGATATCTATTAGACAGCAATACAGTAACAGAATTTATTTTTTGTTAATACCTTTTATATAAATTATAGGTCTTATTGAATAGATTTATGTTAAATTATATACACAATTGCATATTACAGTTATGTCCTATATTTAGACATTTTAAAAGCTTATTAAACTTTTTTGTAATTTATTTGGAATAAGTTTATTGAGAAATTCCAAGAAGTGAAAGAAGCGACGAGAAGTGCTGCCCAACAGAAGAACCAGTACTCGAACGGCACGATCGGCTCTTCACACGCTATTAACGCAAATGCAAACCAAAACACAAATAATCGCGACTCTAATCAAAACAATGAGTTACCAAACGATGAGATAATTAGGGACCCTAACAGCCAATTGTGTATTGACCCGTCTGTTAGCGTAACCCTTCCTCTTCATACATCTGAACACAAGGGCTCTCTCGTTGCCCATCAACGGAGTCAGAGTCTATCCGGACTTCAAGCCAACAAAGTATTAAATTACAATCAATTAATTATTACCTCGATATAGATTGTAATGATTTTTTATATTAAGTTACTGACAGAAAGTCCCAAAGGATACTCCCATAAGGATAAGCCGTCGATGGGATCGGCATCACTGCCACAGTCTTCAACGGAGGCACAGCTCCGATACGAGAACGACAGACTTAAATTGGCACTAGCACAGAGGTGACCATGTTTGCACTTTTATTAACTATTTGTAACCAAATATTGTATTTATAACAAAACATTACAATTCATTTACTAATTGACATATTTTTGTTAAACAATATGTGTTTTGCAAAACAGTTCGACAAACGCTAAGAAATGGGAAATAGAGTTACAAACACTTAAGAGTAATAACACGAGACTTACTAATGCTCTGCAAGAATCGACAGCTAATGTCGAAGAATGGAAACGACAGTTACAGACATTGAAAGAAGAGAACAATAAAATGAGACATAAAGTGAGACATTATTAATAAATAGCATATAATATATGAGAATACATTGGATATTAATATTTTCTAATTAATGACAAATGTTTGGATGAATAGGTGATAGAATTAGAGGCCAGTAATGGGAATCCAGAAGCGATGGCAGAACTGCGGAAAGAAATGGGAAGTTTGAGGTCGAGAGCAGAACATCTGGACTCAGAAGTGAGACAAAAGGATAAAGAGATGGAACAGATGAAGAAACGTCTGGACGATCAAAGCCATATATATAGCACTTCCCATAAAGTGGAGGACAAACTCAAGGTTTGTATCGTTTGATTGAATCTACAAATTAAATTGAATCCATGAATTAATGCGAAATTTAAATGCAATAATATATGAGTGTTATATATAGAAAATTATTGATTTATTGATTGGTTATATTTATATTGAATGTTATATCGTTTGGTAAAGGCTTTACTGAATGAAAACGAGAATCTGAGGACTCAATTGAATCGATTACACGATCAAAACGATAACAACAAGATTACAGATAAAGCGAGACAAGGATTTCTGGAACAACTGAACAAACGTTTAGCTCAAAATATACAAGAACTTCGTTGTATTCAACAGGAATTCGCCGCTTTGTTGAACTCTTCCTGATTTTGTGGCCAAAAACACAAACAAAACTTAAATTAATTTCTGTTATTATTATTGAATTCTGATATTTAATTTAATTACCGCTCATTCGAACAAAAATATTTAAATTATATATTATTTAAGATAAAACACGAGTTCAAAAAACAACTATATAAAAACAAAACTAGTGATTAAATAAATAGTGATTAACGAATATATATACAAATTATGTAAATAATTTTAATGCAAATAATAAATGGATCGAAATCTCTATGAATTTATTTATTTATTTAATCAATACATAAATAATAATTTTATACTTAATTAAAAGAAATCAAATCACAAACTATTAAATGATATAAAAAATGTGAGACAATAAATATTTTTAAATCTTTGGGATAATCTTTATATTAAAATAAATAATGAATGAAATAATCACTTCTACCACTTGCCGATGAATATCCTTTTAATGGCTTCATTAATGCTGTTATATTGGTTCCCTTTGACAGACTTCCAGCACTTGCAGCTGCCGTTTACCAGAAACCAGTCATAATATACGCGAACCACATAACAGCCTATTTTGTCGTAACCGTCGCACTCCTTGACCGGCGTTTTGCTGGTCTTCGCCATATCATCGTCCAGACCGTCGATGTCTTGCATTTTAATTTTTGTCGACACTTTTCTGCCATTTCTTGGTGTGATTTGTTGTCTGTTATTTTGCTGTTCTTCTGAAACATCCATTCGTCTCAAGTCATCCCCATATGTGGGAAAATTCATGGATGGAGTGATTCTTGTTTTTAGTTTGTGATTGTTTTTAACACTAATTATTTGATTGTTTTGATTTATATTCATATGATTTAGAGGTTTTTCGCCCGACACTGGAAAGTAAACGTCCGGATAGTATATCTCAGCCACTAATAAACTGACCCATCTATTAAATTAATTAATTATTATAATAATTACAAATTAAAATTAGATTGTAATTATGATCCATACCTTGGTGATTCAGAACATGCTCCATCTATAAAATCACATTTATTTTTACTGGAATAAAAAATATTTTCATATATTTAAATTCACATTATTAAGCTTTTACTTAATTAGTTAACTTACAGACAACTTGTCCTTTGAATTGTTTGCGTGAAATATCTGAAAAATATAACAATAAATATCTACTGTTTTCGGTGTAACAAAAATATAAGTTTTAAAAACAATTAAAAAGTTAAATATACCCTTCGCTCGGAATCTGAACGACATATTTCCAGATTCCCTGATAATTACGAGCAAAAGTGGGAGAAATATATTCTTCGATGGCTGGACAGGGAGTGGTTGACTGTTCAGTAGGTTCTGGCAGTAGATCTTCGGGTTCGAGTGGTTTTCGACGTCTTGACGGAAATTTATTTGAATTCTGAAAACTTGAAATGTAATCGATTATCGAAATCCAAGGACTATAGTTATTGGAGCCGCTGATTGTGGACAAAGTAGACAACACTTGAGAAATGGTTGATTTATTGTCATTATTTGCATTCATATTGTTGTTATTGGGTTGCAGATCACTCAATTGTCCCCCATATTGGTTGACCATCGACGCTATGTTACCAATTGTGGCCGCATTAGAGACGGCGGACACAACGTTACTCAGAAAAGTCTTGGAAAAGGGTCCGTCACTTTTTAGAGCATCAAATGCTTGACATATTCTTTAAAAATTTAATGCACAATATTATAGATAGATTAACATAAATATGTTTTCACAAAATAATTTAAAGCATTATTTTACTTTTTTCGGATTATCTCACAAATTTATTGCTTATAAAATTTAAAAATTAACTAAAAATCTTAATTAAAAATTAATTTATATAATTAAAAATATATGTTTTAAAGTATTTTAATTTAGGTAAGAATATTATACTCACGAATTTCCTTCACATAGATTTTGTCGTAAAAAGTCGGTCCCATTTTTCTCAGAATTATTAATTGTTTTCACTTCACTCAATACACCTGCAGATGAACTGGCGTTTGCTTCGCGAGCAAACCGTCGATGGGATGGGACTGAAGGCCTATAATTCATATATTATTTAATTATTTGAATGGTATTTAAAGATATTCATGTGTTAATAAATATGAATAAATTTTCTATACTTTTCAATCATATACTACTGTACATATTAAAGCGATATACCCTATAGACACACACTTATTCCTATTGAAACCCATGTTACCATTGAATCCCATGTTAGAGTAGTCCCAATGCTTTCCCCTCTTAAGATTTTACTCTCCCTTTTGAAACAGAGCCCCAAACTTTGGTGACATTCCTGAGCGAGAGGACAGGGTATATAACGAGCGCCCAGTCCTCCAGCACGGGGATAACTACTTGAGCTCTACCACTGAGTAGTTGTGTGTCTCTCTTAAAGAGACTCACTTTTTATACTTTTATTTTGTACTTCTTTCTTTTATATGTTTTATCAATAAATACTTTATTACTAACTGTGTGTCAACTATACTGCAAGAGGTGTGCGCGCAAGCGGGCGAACAGGTGAGCGCCGCGGGACGGCTCCGGTAAACGCCTCCGGGAGGCGTCTCAGGTAAGTGTTTGTACTTTTGTACCCCTTATTAGTTGTTATAGTGTAATTAACCCCCATTACGCTTTATATGGTGAAGGTGCTTAGAGTATAAACGCACGCTTTATACAGAACCCCGTATGCACTGCAAGCGCATGCATATGCTATAGCATAAGGAAATATAGGCTAAATAGCGGCACTTTTGACGGCTCTTTGCCGGATACTTGCCGGAAAAACGCCGGCAGTAGAAATACAATGGAGATATACATTGTTATATTTTACGGCATTATTCTTATGAGTTATATCATAATCAAAAATTGCTAAATTTGCGTTAAAATTGTTTCTCTACTTGTATTTTTCACAAAAAATTGCCTTAATTTACTGTGTAATACAATACTCTCATTATGTGCACCAGTGCTTGTCATTTGCTTTAACATAATTAATTGCTTGCGACCAGAATATGTGCCTAACGACTATTTTAATTACTATTCAAATCGCTAAATGTATTAAATAATTGCCAAAGCCTGACACAAAAAAAAGCAATTAAATTTATTTTTTAGCTAATTGTATTGCACTTTTTTGAGACTCCCTGCTGTTAATACCCATAACTCGCTGAATGGGATTAGTGCTTGCTATATTACATGCTATAAGCGATACAGTACTTCACCCCATAAAATTGTTGTCAAGCGGCGATCGCATTGAACGGGAAAAAAGGTCTCAAGAAATAAAAATTAATCCTCTTTATGGCTCTATTGACTTAATTTTGAGTGAAAATCACTGCAATCGCGAAACAGATGTGCACATTAAAATAAATTAATTGCTTAAAATTCCTACATTTAATCCTCTTTTGAAAATAAATGACTATTTGTATAATTTTGATTATTTTTTTATTGCTCTAGTATATAATTACAGTTTTGTTCTAAGCTTATATAATAAATAACCATACATTAAATAAAAATGCCGAGAAAGAGAGCTACTGCCCGTAAGCCGCCCACCATTGACCGCATGGATGGCAGCCATGACTCAGATACTTCAAGTGTAGCCACAGGTGTGGGCCGCTCTGGTAGATTACCGGATAAGATGCCCACAGACAACGCAGGCAAATTGCCGGCGAGTGGCTGCATAGAAGCAGAAGCTGCGGCAAGTGCCGGTCAAACGTCGGCCCCTCAATCCAAAGACGCTGGAAAACAAGACGATTTCTCCACTTGCAGTACAATGATCACTATCGGTTCCGTACAGCCACGGGTGTATGACGGCACAAGTGATGTGGATGACTGGATTGAGCACTACTTGTACGTCTCTAATTGTAATAACTGGAGCACTGCTCTACAACTCCGAAGACTACCAGTATATTTGAAGAATACCGCGGAGATGTGGTATCGCGACTTCAAATCCGGCGCTGAAGATACAGTAAGTGGCGGTATAGATAACGTCTCACTAAGTGAAGTATTTGACGGGTTGAGAGATGCATTCAGACCCAAAAATATAATGTCTATTAATCAGACGGCACTTATTTGCCGGATGCAAGGGTTGACAGAGCTGGCGGTGACTTATTACTACGATATGCTACGGCTATGTGATCAAGTTAATTCAAAAATGACAGACCCAGAAAAACTAACGCACATAATGCGTGGCCTCCGCAATGAAGTGCTGGAAAAAGTGATCATATTTGAACCGAAGACCTGCCGCGAGTTGTTGGACAAACTACGTTCAATGGAAGAGGCTGTTTATTTGGCCAGCCAACGGCCAGGGTATAACATGTTAATTACCACTAACTCTAACGCAGTAGACAACCAGGTAACGCCCGTCGCCGGAACGCCTGTCGCCGCCGACAAAACTGACGAAAAATTGGACAAGTTGTGCGGATTTATCGAACAGCTTATTGAACAGCAAAGCTACGACGGGCGTCACCCGCAAAGAAGTTGGAATGCCGAAATGTTTTCCGGAGAATCTGCTAGAATGTCTGCCGGAATGTTTCCCGGAGAATCTGCTGATGATCATCGCCAAAAGCACGATATGATAAACTGACTCACTAATTACAAATTAAAATAAGTTAAGTATTATTTTTCTTTTTTGTCAATATTATAAGTTTTATTTTTCAATTATTAATCAGTTTTTTATTTTACTTTTTGATATTAATGTACGAATATTTTACAGTTAATTTGACTTTATTTTTATTTTTAACTATTAAGCATGTTTAAGTATTTTTAATTAAGAATTTTCCTTTTTCGAAATTAAGATTAATTAAAACAAACATCAATAAAATGTCATTACACAAATAATGAATTTGACGAGAGTTTGTGTTTGTTTCAAGTTCAGTTAAGAATATAGTTATAGATAAATGACAGAATTACAGATAGGTAATAACAATAATAACAGTACAGATATTTGACACTAACAATGTAGTTAAAACACAAACTCCCGTTAACAATTAATTAAATTATACAACCATTATATGCGTTTATTATTTACACATACAACACAAACAGTTTAAAAATACTAAGGAATAAAGTGAACGATTCGCCGGAAAGCCTGCCGGATAGTCGCTGGAAAGTCCTGCCAAATAATTGCCGGATAGTCGCCGGAAAGTCCTGCCGAATAGTTGCTGGAAATTTGCCGGAAAGTCCTGCATGATAGTGGCTGGAAAGTTCGCCGGAAAGTTCTGCTGGATAGTTGCCGGAAAGTTCTGCTGGATAGTTGCCGGAAAGTTCGCCGGAAA